ATTCAACGTATGACAAAAGAGCACACTATGCACCTATATATAGCATGTGGATACTGTAGTCTGTAGACACCTACATCCATCGTATATTAGAATGAAAATGTTAGTAAGGGGCACAGTCTTTGTCCTCTTAATATTCTTTGACCTCGTCGCACTGTAGCTTTAATAAACTGCAGCAGGGTTCTACCGCATAAAATTCTCCCTTATTTAAAAATGTTATGTTATTATTTATTACAAACTAGCTACAACAGCTGTGGTATTTGTTACGATTGAATTTTATGGGATTTAATTTTTTAACCATAATTATTTTTCTAAAAATAAAAGGAGCCTTAGCACTCCTTATAACATTAGCTATCTGCCAGTGTTTTAAAAATTGTTTTTTTTTTGTTATTAGTACCGTAATATACTTTCATATTATGCATTTAGTAAAAAGCTTTTATTTTTATATTAGGAACAGACACTTTAATTTATTTTATATAGATTTTATTGGCTAACGTTCTTGACGACGACGACCGATATTTTGTAAGTTGTCCAAATACGTTACAGTTTTAATAATGAACGACTTAGAGCGAGATGAGCGGGATATTTATTTAAAGACCATGTTAAAAAGGAAATATCAAAAGTTCGGAAGAGCGTGCGTGCTTGCCGCTTGAACAAAATTCTAGGTGTTCGCATTACTTACTTTGCGTGTGCTTAGAAAAATATTGTATGTGTAGGAAATAATTATCTCATGTGTTTTGGTTTATATATTTTTTCGGCGGTTAAGCCTTTAATAGAGCAAATTCCTTAAATAGATTTTTAGATGTTTTCTACTCCAATCTAATACAAAATACCTAATTAAGTTTGTAACTTAGAAGTGGGGATCCAAATTATTATTTGGACTAATCGGTGCTAACCATTTCTGAAAAAAGGCATGTTTTATTATGAAATATATTTCAGTTATTAATTAAATGTTGCTAACAGAAGCTTTATTTATTAGTACAAACTTTAAACAAAACTATGAATGATGAATGTATATAGGTATTAGGTTGTATGTATATAGGTTTATACGAATTTAGTTTCAAATCGTTCAATAAAAATGGATAGGAAAAGTAAAAAATTTTGTTAACATTTAATTGTAATTATTTGAAAAACCAGCTGCTTGGGACCCAATAATTAAGGGGATATAGTAACTCAGCTCAAATTCTAATTTCGCCCCCACTTCCCCACGCGTCGTATGCTATGTACCGACGTGTTTGTAATCACTAATACTGTAAGTAGATAGGTCGTTAGACACTTATTTCATTAGGTTTATCATATTTATGCCTGTTTCTTAACGCCAAGTCAGTCGCTTCTTATTTTTATTACGGTTATTTCCCATTTTAATTTCACGTCGTCCTGTTGCGTAATGTGTATTCTAATCGTAAGCGACACAACCTCCCCCCTTCAAAGGCCGAAGCGAAACTGACCGGGCGGCAGGAATCACGCTTCAAGAGGCCGATTAAAGTATTTTATGAATAACAGCGGTTTATGGTTTATTTTGGAGGTAACTTTGGATTTTTTTTTCTATGGAGAAAATTTTACGGAATCGTATTTTCGTCTAACATAATCCTTAACATTAATCCTCAACTTTACCATATATTTATTTCAAAATTAATGCTGCAATATTTTCGGCATAACAGAGGATCTTGTTAAGCCATTTGAGGTTATATTTCCACTTAAGTCCCTATCCTAAGCATACAACTGCAATTATGTGCTTTATGATAAGCTCATTATGCGTAGGTCGGACCAAAAATTAATAATTTTAAAGTGAAGGTAGCCGTGGTTAACTATGACATTGGGACGTCGAACACCTCAGTCCCCCCCCCCCCCCCGTGACCATGAGTGCTTTAAATTACGCGAAACGTGGTGATTATATACGCAATAAAATAGATAAAATTACACATTTAAATGAAACTAATACATCTGAATGTGTAGTGTCCACGTAAACGTAATAATTACTTTATAATTAAAATAAAAACAGAAAAGCAAAATACTTTATGATTTTTTATTATTTTATATTTTCATTACTTAAATGTTTTTTTATCTCTACCAAATAAAGCTTTGCCGCCCTATAAAACCAAAACTAGGAGCAGGTCAGAAACAAAAACATAAAGTCGTATAATATAGCTAATATATTGGGGAAAAAACCACAAACAAGCTTCAGCAGTAATGAAAAACACAGAAAAATTAACTTACAAAAAAAACTAACTACACTACACAATACTAAAATCGACTAAAATATTTACTATAATGTCAACTGTCAATATGGCATCGATAAAGCAGCGCCATTTTGAACCTTTATTAATATAATTGATTGATGAAGATCTATCGTATCAAAGTGCCATATTTGCAAACAAGGCTGTAGTTTTTGTGATTCTTGAAAGTGATCAGATCATTATAACCGGATGACCATAATACCGTCACGTACTATACATATAATAAATTGAAGAATACGAATATGCATTCCGTGTAACTTAAATCCGTCGAATTTACATTAATAAATTTTACAATAAAACATTCTTTCGAATAAACAATACATTACATTTTCTAAACAGCTGTTTGACAAATATAAACTTGGCATTGTTTGCGATAGAACAACAGTGATATATTTTTGTTGGTACATATAGGATACAATCAACGCGATGCGACTGTCTTGCAATTGTCTTGTTATTTTAAACGGATTCGAGTGGTCACTTGCGGCGAGGTAGAGCGTTTTAAATTGCCAATCGCAAAAACGCTTCTTGTCCGGTCTTTTATAATTTTTATATGCGACATGGTCTTTTATATGCGGCATAACGTTGCGGTTATTTTGGCAAATTGTTAATGGTTCATTAATATTCTACGTTATTAGATTTATTTTTCGATTTTTAAATGGATAAAATAAATAAGACTATGTATTTCTTTAAATTTTTTGCTTTTTAATTAGAATTCCAAAATCTGGCATCTTATTTTTAACGTAAGTAAATTTCCCCTGCGTAAAGGCATTTTATGGACACAAACTGCACAAACACTCAGATCCTAAACAACTATTATATATTTTCAAAACCTTTTATCGTATTGCAGTTTTACACATATAGATTATAATGCAAAATCGATTTTCAGCACAAAATTGTCGAAATAAAAATTGAAGATTTATTAATTTCACGTAAAAGAGGTTTTGTAACCATATCATTTTACACTCAATTTTGTTGAAAAATTGTGTTAACCAAAAAAAAATGTAAATAGTCGACTTTGCTTAAAAACTTTAAGAAAAAGAGGAAAACGTAATCTTTTCTTGTGTAAAATTAAAAACAAAAAAAAAATGATTTTTTCGAAACTTTTTTTGTATCAGTACTTAAATAAATCTAAAATATTTTACTACTAATAATTGAAAGTCCTGTATTTTTAATAATACATATTTATAAGGCAATTTCTTAATTTTTACTAGATGTTATATTTTATGTAGGCAGTTTAAAATAAAGAATTTATTGTATAGGAAGTTTGTATTCCAAGTCGATTATGAGCATGATTCTAATTTAGCGTTAACTCGTTAAATGGTCACGGACTTATGCTCTTTCCGGGCAATGAACATATGGGATAAATTGACTGACTGAGTGAACGATGTTAAATAGCATGACGTGACGATTGAATGAACTGCATGTTATAATTTCTGAAAGCACTTAATTAGTTTTAGTTAGTTATTGTGTATATTGGTAGAACCAAACTGCAGTTATATATTGTATATTGTACAGCACGTATAGATCGGCTCAACCGAGAAAGAAATCTCTCACAGAATACCGTAAAATAGCAGCTTAATGCTTCTGTGTTTCATATGGTTAATCTAGAGAACCAGAGAACCTTCTTATTGAAAACTTGATCCATGATGTATTCCATGTCAGTCCTCAGGGGGTGACAACGGATCTACATTTGGATTCTTAATCGAGTATAAATGTGGATATCTATGGGCCTAAGCATCCATTTCCGATAAAGTGGACTGTGTGCTCGTGTGTTGCCACCAACCATCAAAATAATACAAGTTTCTTATATTTAGTTTTTCTTTTAAATATTGTATATGTTCCAAATTTTTTAAAGTTGCGTTGTCTTAACGATTACGCTTCATATAAACCTTGTGCACACACCTTGTTGTAATATCATATATATATATATATATATTTTATTTATTTATATATATAAATTAAACTGCTGCCAAATATTTTTTTTTTCAATAAGAGCTCACACTTACATACATAAGTTACTACAGTATGTACTTGTATGCAAAAATTAATTAACAGTCTGTTGTAATAGGATAAGCACTAAATATATTATGTTGTTTATTGATTACACATGTTTGCATATTATTTATTCCAAAAAAACTTAAAATGTTACTTTATCATTTAATTATATGAGCCTAACATATTATCTTAAGGTATAAAAGTAATAGATTCTAAATAACAATAATTTTTATCTTGAAACTATTCAATTCCAAGGTAAGACAACCAGTCAAAACAGTCTCAATAAAACATTTAGCCTATAAACGTTTATTGAATACGCTCGGGCTGACACAATAAATACAGTGGTAAATTAATAATACACGTTAGATGGTACGGTGTTGGATATCTTGTGTTCGTCGTTTCCATGGAGGCGGGTCGCGTGCGCGGTAACCGTGACAACCCTCGCTTCAGATTGAGTCTAGGACTTACAAGTGTTCGTCATATGGTTGATAGGCTTGAAGCTGAATATACGCAAGCTGCGGGGACGAACGGAAGCACGTTAGAGGTGGTTAGATACGACCCTGAAGTCGAAGATAGCTACATAGGATATGATGACTTCCCCTTCAGTCCACCGAACGGACAAGTCTGGCATAAATTCGCTGTGAATTTCGGCGTAGCTCTTAGTAAATGCATTCCAAGTGTCACGCTCGCGAATTTCGGCGTCCTTTCCGTAGCAACAGCAGTGTTCGCACCAAGGATGATCTCTTATCTTGTATTATATCCGTTTTGCAGATTGGTATTCGGAACTCTCTACCCGGCTTACGCTTCATATAAAGCTGTACGGACGAAGAATTTGAAAGAATACGTGAGTATATTAGTTTTATTTTAGTACTGTAATTTTCATCGCGTAAAATATGATAACAAAACAAGTTTTTGTATGTGTTGAGCTACGCTACAGCTATATTATTGCTATATGCACGAAAGGGTCGGCTTGACCGTGGTAGTGGACCACGCTCTTACAGAATACAGGTGTGAAAAGCATCATAATGTTGCTATGTTTCGCATGATGAGTGACGATAATCGGTGACTTGGTAACGAGGAATTTCTTCTTAGTCCTCAGTGGTGACAACGTCTGCATTCTGACTCTTGATAGATGATAAACGTAGGTGGGTGCCTATGGGCGACAGCATTTACGTACCATCAGGGGTGTCTTTGTGTTTGCTTGTTTAAACTTCTATATAATTTCAATACTTGAAAATAAGATTTCTGAAGCAATAATGTTGCAGAGTATAGAGTACCTACCGACACGGCCTTGTCTCGGGTGTTCGCATAACTTGTTCGAAACGCTTCAGTTCTTATTGTGTTCTTTACCTCCTCTCGGATACTATGTGCAATCAATCGTGAAGCCTGATCTATAAAACATAGTTATTGACTATAAACTCTTAACATTTAAATGTTTTGTTATGATATTCTTCCATTCCTTTCCTTCCTTCCTTTCCATAGGTGTCATAATATGAATATGGTGGAGCTGTATGAGAAATTACGTAGATGCTGTGGTCCCATAGACTCCAATATTTATTCTCTATTAAGGATCAATACGTAGATGCGCTGTAACCCCTAAAAACAAAGATAGAATGTTTCATTACAAGTAAAAAGAATATTCGATTCAATACACTTACTATGCGAAACGGCAGTAATATGCTCCTATTTTACGCTGGTATTCAGTGCGTGCTTTACCACTCATTACAAGTACACTGCTGAAAATATGCTTGCTGGCCGGTCTTGAGCCACCTGCGTAAATTGACTTCCTGTCTGCCTTATAAGGTCGCCACTATCCGGTGTGAGCTTCCGTAAATGGCAAGCAACAAATCTAATGTTCTAGAATGGAATTGAATTTTTGTAAAGGTAATATCGGACAACCTATGATCTATCGTAGGTCGTAAGTTACTTTTGGTATTGTCTTTAGTCGACTAGTCGCCTTAACAATACTACAGCACTTTAAAAAATACAATATTTTTTTATTTTATAAACCTGAAGTGACAAAGGAACTCACAGTCCACCTGATGGTAAGTGTCTACTGCAGACCATGGGCACACATCTCGTCAGAACCAGAGTAACCGACATAGCCCAGTGGATTAGTAACCTAAAGTGGCAATGGGACGGCTGTAGGTATATCTCAAAGAACAGACAAACCGATGGGGAAGAAGGGTTTTCGAGTGGCAGCCTTTTTACCAGTAAGCAAAACGTAAGGCGGCCACTAGACGAAATGACCTGGTTAGAGATGCAGGAAATGGATGGATGCAGATAATGATGACGATGATGATGAAATTGTTGTCTAGAATAAATTATTAAAATATTGTATTTTGTTATAATTGCAGGTAAAATGGATGATGTACTGGATAGTGTTCGCGCTGTTCACGTGCACGGAGACGTTCACAGATGTCTTTCTATCGTGGTTCCCGTTTTACTACGAGGTGAAGATAGTTTTGGTGCTATGGTTACTGTCGCCTGCCACCAAGGGCTCCTCAATCCTTTACAGGAAGTTTGTACATCCAGCACTTTGCAGGCGGGAACAGGTACTGTCACATTCTTCATTATCGTTAATAAACTATTTTATAGCAAAAATTTAGTGAGCCAGGAATAAGCTTGAACTTGTTTTAACGTCTTTATCAAACTGATAATTTGCATATCCTGTTCAATTTTAATAGTTCATATAGACACATAATATATATGTATATATTATAATTATATTAACTATATCACTATCGTCTTATAAAGTTCATAAGACGATAATTACATAGGTCTTATCGTCTAGTAACATTTATAAATATGATGATATTATATTTTTATCACTTAAAAGCAAGTTTGAAAACACATGCTGAATATTGATAAATGTAAATTTTCTTCTCGTGGTTTCTGTACATCTGTACTACGTTTAATATGTTTTTTATTTTCCATTACACATAACATTATACCGCAAGCGACTTAAGTTGTACATTGTATTCATTACACTGTCGTATCGGATTGCCGCCCCATCCGAATAAGAAAATGAAGGAATAGAAAATGCATATGTAGAAGAAAAACTTCGCCGTAGTGCTCTCATAAATTACCGGCATAGGTGTCACAGATGTAATACTTGTCCTTTGCCTCGTTCATGTTCCTTTTTAGATCTATCTCCTGGGAGATTCCAGTTGATTCTTTTTGAAATATTTCATTTTATTTTTAGTAAAAAGGTCTTTATTCAACAATATACGCTTAATATGTTTTATTATGTTGGGCTGGATCTTTAAGGCTTTGTGATTTGATATAACTCCATTTTATATATATTTACGGTTATTTTAGAATTGACTACGAAATTATCAAAACAGGATGCACAAGATGTTGTTGCTCCAGTTGAATCAATGGAAACACATTCCAAATTAAAAATAATTAAAGATTGTTTTGTGTTTCAGTGAGTAAAGCAATGAAGAAATCAGCACAAATTACTATTTTCTTTTTTGTTTTAGGTATCTTTTCCAAAAGTTCTCCCATTATAATAATAAATTATGTAGTCATCAGAGGGATATCCATAAATACACAAAAATAGATAATCATTTCTCATTTCTGCACAAGCAATCTACAATAGAATTAAAAATGTTATACCAAAATATTGTAGTGTGTTAGTGAATCAAAGAATACCATATTAATCGATGTGTGCCGTTAGAGGCGATTGATGTCTATATTATCATTATCATAATTACAGCCTATCAAAAGGCAATTGCTAAACAAAGGCCTTCACCACATATTGCCTGTTGGGGGAGAATATCTCATAGTTACCAGACACTGCAGTTTACGTTGACAAATCAGTTTACGTTGTTATCAGGGAGTTGCTGCTGCCCATCCTGTTTCATTTCCCTCTGTCGCCTCTTACTATATGCACGGTTTGACATGGGCGGGGATTCTCTTATGCCGCCTCGACATGACGATGGATCCATAGCCTGAAAACTAGTAGATGTAAATTACTCAAACCGACGACTGGAGCACCTTCAAAGGTGCTAAACATTGATAGTGCAATCAACCTATAATATAAAGGCGTGGCGATAATGCAAAGTCTTTATTACTGTAGGGATAGACCCAACATACAGCATGGACTGTTGTTAACTGATAAAGAAAAGATATATATATATATATATATATATATATATATATATATATATATATATATATATATATATATATATATATATATATATATATATATATATATATGTGTGTGTGTGTATGTGTGTGTGTGTGTATGTGTGTGTGTGCGTGCGTGCGTGCGTGCGTGTGTGTGCTGTTTTGTTATTTATTTTAAATATGTTTCTCTTTCACCTTACAGGAAATAGATGAGTACATTGCCAAAGCCAAAGATCAGGGTTACCATACTGTGCTCAACTTGGGTACAAAGGGCGTCAACTATGCAACAACCGTTATTATGCAAACTGCTATAAAAGTAAGTTTATATCATTAATTTCTCGACTACTTCCTGGCATGCTTTGTTTTAAATGACGGACCCAAATAAGATAAGTCATATTGTTTTAACTTTTTTTTTGTCACAACAATCCATTCTAATTTGGGTCTTATTCAAGCTCAAGGCGTCAGGTGTAATTGTATAACTATTAACTAAACACAAGTTTTATTTTACATTTAGTTTTTTTGTTGTTTGTCACCTATTTAGTTAAATTCACCTAATATACAATCAGTTGAAACAACCTGTGGCATGTTTGATCACGGTTTATCTGAGCAAAACAACACAGCGGTGGTTTCATTTGCACAGCTTTCATTTGCATTAGTTTTCGTCAAACGCTAGCCAGCAAATCGACATTAGACATGCCCACAACTGCAGTATTTCCCACATATCAATTTGACGCACAGCTGCTTAACTTAATTCCATTTTTGTATTTTTAATTTTATTAACACGCTTTTTTAATTTCTTCCCATCCCCACCCCATACTACTCCAAAATCCTTTCCGTTGCTGCTTCAATTAGAATTTAAATCTGCCGAATGCTGAGCAAGTCGTTGAAGCTAGAAAAGCTATAAGATCTCGAGACGTCACTGATGGCTATGAAGATACATACAATCTAGAATATCAACACTCTGAGGATAACAATGCTCCTGGAGTTGAAATAGTGGAATTAGATAACCGCGATAACAACGACGCCGAGCTTCATATCGGCAGCGGAGATGCAAATGATCCTGATTATGAGCCCACGTCTCCACGTAGCCGCGGCAATATCGTAAGAAAACGCAAAGTGACGAAGGAGAAACGATCACGGAGCAAGTCTAGAGGCCGTAAGACTAGAAGCCAAACTGCCGTAGAAAAAGAGAATGAAGTGACGGTCGAATGAATGAGATTTTCTCCAAAACAAAAACTTTACTGTGATTCTTAGGCGATGTTAGGGAGGTTCTTAGTTTTAATATACTCAACAAATTCATAATCATGCTCGACGAATAATTCATATAGATTTTCTATTAGCTGTTACTTTGTTGTTAGTTAACTTAACATTATCGTATGTATACGAGTACTTTCGAAAGTTACGTATTTACGATTAGTTACATCTACTTTTTGTTTGCTACTTTTATTCCGCACTTATGTTTTCTCTCTATTTTGAAACATAAAAGTCAATCCTTTACTATAAAATGATTCTTATATTCAAGATTTCTTAACTGTTTTATTTTGTATGTAAAAAGCATAATCTCAGTCATCGACTTTTGTATCGCATGACTAATGAATTTGTAGTAAATTTTTGCATGTTTCCACGGTTTACAGTCATCGGCTATGTATGTTGTGTTCTTAGATTTTAGTTACGTGTGACTGACTTAGTGTAATGTATTTCTTAATA